TTTGCTTGCGACTATTATGAGTGGAAACACTTTATTGGTCGACGTTTATTTTTCAACCCTACGGTTTCGAACAAATCGTCGTTTTCAAGACCTAAAAATTGGTTCGAAGCTCTAGTTTGTAGCCTATCCGCTCACACCCCACTAGTACCAAATGTTACGCTTCTCAGTAATCTCAAACCAAGATAAGTTCCAGCTAAAACCAACCTCTTACGGCTCCACCAATACTGGGTCCCGCTCGGTTCCGTGGACAGCTGACGAAAAATGAGACACCCTCACTCAAACGTAGTACGTGCAGTGCGTGATGATCTCACAATTCGCATAAGGGAATGAAAGGCAGGAATTCACTCGTGACGGCCATGCACTCATTTCGGTTGTTCAGCTTTGGATTTCGCACACGGATGTAAAACGCTTCTAGCATTTTTCTAGCACCGACATCATGTTCCTGGGTCAGGATTTTACATTCTATATCAAAGTCATTGCCCGCATGTTTTTCAAACCGGTGCTTGCCAAGCGGAGTGAGAAGGCTTCCACGTCTTTTCCCAGCCAGGTGTTCTTTAACGCGTATACCTAACATCCTGCCTGTTTCCCCAATATACGCTTCGCCACAGGTTGAACATTGAAGTTGGTATACAGTTCCTCTCAATGTGCAATCTCCATGCCTTCCATATGGACAAACAATGCAGTTTTGTGTAGTGCATGTACGATCGTACAACCTATTGCGGGATTAGCCGAGATGTTTAATATTGCTTTTTGGCACGTTAACTAAACTACGTCGTTATGCTGAAACTCGGCTTGCTATTATGGCACTGGCCGTATTGCTGCACTAAGCTATCTGATATGAACGCACATTCGACCCGAATCGACATGTCCGCAGCGTTGTTCTCGAGTATGCTCTGGCGGGGGTTCTTTCGCGGTGGTTCGCGCGCCGGATTTAATTCTTCGTGAGACCCGATCGTCGAGTGAGTTTCATTATCACCTTCGCACTTTGTGAATCAGAAGATAGCTTATTTTTGCGGACTTCGCATCTCTGGCCTGGGAAAAAGGACTGAAGCCTTCTCACTCCGCTTGGCAAGCATCACCGGTTTGAAAAACATGCGGGCAATGACTTTGATATAGAATGTAAAATCCTGACCCAGGAACATGATGTCGGTGCTAGAAAAATGCTAGAAGCGTTTTACATCCGTGTGCGAAATCCAAAGCTGAACAACCGAAATGAGTGCATGGCCGTCACGAGTGAATTCCTGCCTTTCATTCCCTTATGCGAATTGTGAGATCATCACGCACGTGCACGCCTACTGACGTACTTGAGTAAGGTTTCGTCAGCTGTCCCGGAACCGAGCGGGACCCAGTATTGGTGGAGCCGTAAGAGGTTGGTTTTAGCTGGAACTTATCTTGGTTTGAGATTACTGAGAAGCGTAACATTTGGTACTAGTGGGGTGTGAGCGGATAGGCTACAAACTAGAGCTTCGAACCAATTTTTAGGTCTTGAAAACGACGATTTGTTCGAAACGTCGACCAATAAAGTGTTCCACCATATCAAACCTGGAAGGCTAAACAGAAGCAAGAATATCAAACAATTCGCTTTGCTTACGACGCTAAATCATAGTTTTGGAAGTGGCTTCATCAGGAAATGAGGCTCGCGGGAAAACTTTCTCAGTGCTAGGACTAGGGAGTCAATCCTGTCAATTATGTGCACTTCCTGCACTGCAAATCCGTCGCAGGACGAATGTGCCTGTCGTGTGATGAATCGATTGAGGCGGTTTGCTGCAGAAAGAGGCGCCTGTTCTGGGATGCGCGCGCAGAAGCGGCTGTCGTCAGAGAGATTCTGCGGATGAGACATTTTGCCGTTTACGAGGGCATGGTTCATGAAAATGTTCACGGGGCGGAAGTGGTGTAGTGGCAAGTGGCACGCTTACCACGCGAGCGGTCCGGGATATCAAATCCTGGGTCGTGAGTCGCCCGGGCCAACCAAGTCTTCCATCCCTCCGGGGTCGGTTAATTGGTACCAGACTTGTCTGGGAGGATAAAAACACTGGTGACTATGCATCATATGGCGGGCCCCGTCCACGATCAATGTCGTATAGAGCCAGTTGCTATTGCAGAACCGCCACTACGCATGTTGCACTAAATGGGAGGGAGAATGCCGTGCCCAATCCGGCAGACAGAGAGGGACTTCTTGCGTTCTTTATTCTTGTTTCCTACTTAGCTTGTTTGCCCGATACTGGTGGTACGAGGGCGTCACGATTTTACGTCAGATGGTGTTGACAGCCACTCGTGCCTCCTGAATTCCAGAATGCGTGAGTCGGAGTGATAACTAAACCAGCAGTAACTTTAAGCGCGGGATATTGCGATCATGCTATACGAAGTTATTACGTCAAGCCAGCGCTGTTTCGGGCGTCCCTTAGGCCGTTTGCCGGGCACATCGATGTTGAGGCTCATCTTACGCACAGTGTCATCGTTTCCACGAAGCACATGACCATACCATCGAAGTCGAGCTTCGCGCATCTTATCAGCAATAGGAGCTACACCAAAGCGCTCTCTGTATGGTATCATTACGAATGCGATCTAATCGCGTGACTCCAGCCGTCCAGCGCAGCATTTTCGTCTCCATTACACCGAGACGGGCTTCAATTTCTTTAGTCAAAGGCCACCTCGTTTGAATATTTCCAGCGGACAGTTGACCCTGGCTGGGACCCTCAAAATCCTGCGTAAGCTGAAGAGCGCGTTTTCCAATCCACCCATTCCTGATGGACCAGGGCCCACACCAGGACTCAAAGGCGTTGGCCTTTCTCCGATATCCAACGATCACGCTTCCAGAAGTCACATTTGGTGATCGCACCAAAAGAACCAGCTGGTTTTACAGGTACAAGAGGTATTACTGATTGACAGATTCAAGATCCAACAGCCGGAGCTACAAGCTTCCCTTCTTTCCTTCCATCCCAAGTATGTACATCAATTGACAGCAACCTCAGCCGGCTGAAGTACTGGCTGGTACATTTACTTTGAATATTTGGACCCTGCAACAAAGGGCAAAGGGTCCATATGTTCTGAGGGCATCACTCCTCAGATGTGATGTGATTTTACTTGGTGGATCATTATTTTCTGCTTTTACACCATTTATGTGTTGTACATTTATTATTTCATCACAAATACCAAGAGCACGAATCAACCTATGTAGTCCTACGAGTAGAATTGATTGAGTTTAACATTTTTTGACAGTTGCTTGAAAATGAATTGACCTCCTGTTCGGGAGACAGTCTCCTTAGCAGATCCGTCTGTCTTAAATGGTCGCTGACTTCTCCAGCGCGGACGAACGGGATCCTCAGTACGAGCAGAGAAGCCGCCGACAGCGTCGCAGAAGAATCTGACGGAGCTGATGTCAATCATGAATACGTCCGCTCTGGTGGGAGTCTCAACTTGCCCGATCACCGCCCCTTGGCACCATAAATGCGCCTTGAGACGGTGGCGGAGAACCGTAGGAACTTCATATGGATTCAAGACACTAATTTGGGCGGAAGTGGTGTAGTGGCAAGTGGCACGCTTACCACGCGAGCGGTCCGGGGATCAAATCCTGGGTCGTGAGTCGCCCGGGCCAACCAAGCCTTCCATCCCTCCGGGGTCGGTTAATTGGTACCAGACTTGTCTGGGAGGATAAAAACACTGACTTGTACATCGGCTGGCCCCGCAAGTCATTGTATAGGCCACATCGCATTCAAACGCCACTACGAATGTACAAATGGGAAGTAGAATGCGTGCCGCATCCCAAAAAGGGATTGATCAACGGCAAATGCTTTATCCTTTTTACGTAATTCTCTGAAATCCCGACTGGAAGTCGCATGCATGGCCCATCTCACAATATGGCTGAATACTATCAAGCGACCAACTGTATTGTTGCGAGCGTGATCGCGGTCATCCACCTTCGATAGCAGCCGCACTATGGCGATCGCTTCGGAAGTTTTGTCGAAACCTTTAGCATCTGTGAAAAGTTTTTCGATGGCTACATTTACATGTTTTTTGTGGCTTTTTGCACGCGTCCATTGAAAAAGCTCAACAATCGAACTCACCATTTTGGAGAACTTCATTCAAAGCAAAAGCTAGTTGAAAGAAGTGATTTGAAAGTTGATCGATATAATATAAATGATACAAATTGATCACTGGGATCAGAATCACATCCACTCCTATGGTGCTCCATACCGAGTGGGTGACGATACTGACCTGACCTCGAAAAAATCGAACGTTCCCCTTATTCTTCAGTGCTTCGATTACGACGCGTGAAAAATAGAGGACACCAGCAGAATCATTCAAATATTAAATATTTATTAACAGATCCAGTATAAACTGTACAACAAATACACGATAAGCAATAAGGGAATTGTCTACTAGCTCACTTTATTTACAGCTCTACTTCAAAAATGTATTTTGATTATCGTTCTGCTTGATTAGTCCCGTTACAACTCATCAGACATGAAAGTGATTCCATATATATAACTGATTGGTGATCAGATTAATAAACGTTAAAATAAGTGGAACAATCCGCTGTCATTAGCGATTCTGTTAGGGTTAAACTGCTTTCAC